CAGATCATGTTTTCATAAATATTATGTGGTATAAAAATTATTATATGTAGTACGTATCACAGCAATAATACCACATTACAAAATCGTTTTTTTTTCAACGATTCATTCTTGTAATTTGCATGCGTGAACGAGTGAACGAAGAGGACCGAAATTCATGTTGGAGCCCTGATAATTTCTGATTAACCAAAATAATTTACGTTTGTTCATTTTCGCCCACGGAGACGAATCTTCCATTTCATTTCATTATATATTTATTCCAAAGCATTGTAACGTAGAAATGTCACATTCCAACAAGACGTTCATGGAGCGGGTTTAAGACAACACAAAAGTGAACGTGTGCTGTGAAGGCTCTTGGCGTTCTGGGTAAGAGTTAAAGGAGCACGCCCTGGCGGGGAGGGGGCGCGGGCCGCGAAGACGAGTTCGGTCTCGGGCGGAAACAGGGTCCGAGGGCGGCGGCGGAGGCGGCGTCGTTGCGGTGCGACGCACGGGGGCGCTGGGGGCGCTGGGCAGCGCGCGCCGTGCGCGGAATGGGAAGGCGCGAGGCGGGAGGTGGAGGTGGTGGGGGGTTGGGGCGGTGATGTGGTCGGGGGCGGGAGCGGGCATGCGTGAAGCGGAGCGGGCAGGGCGGGCGGGGTGGCGGGGCGGGCGGGCGGGCGGAGCGGTCGGCAGGGCGGGCAGGGCGGGCGGGGCGAGGCGGGGCGGGCGCGGCGGGCGAGCGGGCGCGGCGGGCGGGGGGGCGGGACGGGGCGGGGTAGGTGCTGGAGGTGCTGGAGGCGGTGCGGGGCAGGCGGGGAGGGGCGGGGCGGTTGCGAGCGGCGGCGGGGGATTAGCTGGTCATATGGGCTGGCGCGCGACGTGCTCCCCGCGACGCCACACGCGGCCGCAGTGGAAGACGGGACGGGCGGGGCGGGGGCGGGGCGGGGGTGAGGTGAACTGCACTCGCGAGCGACTGAGGACGCGCGCGTACAAACAAAGCGATTTACTGTCACTAGTAGCAGTAAGGCAAGACGGTTATTTTCACGAATGCTTTTCTTACGTTAGGCATTAAATTCCCGAATAATTAAAATTAAGTAAGATTAATATTTGTGTTACATATGCGATAACATCCTTTATTAGCAAAAATTCTGCTAAAGACATGTATGTGAACCATCAAATGATGACAAATACATGTGCGCATTTGATAAAATTGCCCCTAAAATTTACCCAGCGAATTTGGTTAATACATTGATGAATACATTTTAAAAGCTCTCTTATAAAATAAAAGCGAAGTCAATGAAGCAGCAATTTACCAATTGAGCTGTGCACGCGTCAGAGACTACTCGGGAATTACACCATACAGTAAATTACTTTCATTTTTAGAATAGGCTAAGGGAATATTGCAAACTGGGTTTATATCGCCAAGCGTCAGAAAGTGGGTGGGATTACTCGGAAAACTATGGACTAGTAACCCCTCAAGGATACTACGTATGACACACTTTTTGAGCAATATACAAATGCACGATAGCATAAACCATTATAAGGCAAGAAATACAATACACATTATATACAGACTCTTTTCTCCCTTCACAAAAAATATTTTGAGCACTTTAAAAAAAATTAATTTACCCGTACAACTGTATAATTTGATTCCTCTCTTGGGTACGGATTTGTAAGAGCTATTTGTTGGCATTGAAACAATTCAGCACGTAGTTTTTAAAGAAAGGAAATATAAAACAGAAGGATGATTATTATTATTATTATTATTAGTCACATTATTATTTACATTACCATCAATTTAAATGTTATTCATTATTCAATTTTACCTTTGATATTTGAAGCTACGTAACATATTAGCAAAACACATTTTGGTAGAGCCAATTCGTCTGTAGCGTTTCACGCGCGAAAGCCAGGTGGACAAAATGGCGGTGAGCGCGCGCCAGGCAGCCGCGCCGCCCGCCCGCCCAGCGGCCATTAGTATTCCGGCGCCGGCGGGCGGCGGGCGGTCGCGCACCAATTAGCAGCCATTTTTATGGCCAATTTGTCAATCGTTTCAATTTGCGGCGACCGGCCGCGCCGTTGGGCGACCCCAGCGCCCGACCGCGCGCTCGCGTGCTCCTGCGGCGGCGGAGAGCGATACGGGCGCCTGCAGTGCGCGGCAGGTGCCCGCACTGAGTGACATTTTGTTGCCTAATGCACTAAAAATGAACAGTAAGCTTTCGTCTCGTAAGTTTCACTGAACATGATTTAGCTTTGTTCAGTAAATCAGACTATTAAAAATCGTAAATGAACGAACAAAGATAATTATCAGTGATACTCTATGTGTTTCGTAGATAAAATCATTCGGTGAGAACTACGTTTCGTGTCTTCGCACTTACTGAACCTTACTCGTAAGCGCGAGTTTTCAGAAATCTGACGAATTCGAACAGTAAAAGAGCCCATGTGAACTGTGAGAAATCAACTCTGTGTATTGTATTACACGCTGTATAAACGAGGTGTTTGGTATTTTATTGATTTTATATAATTATGTTTTATATTCTAAACCATTGATAAATATACCGTCAGTAGACAAACGCCGCTAGCCAGCGTTCGTATCTGCACGGCGAGGGTCTGTCAGGTTACCGAGGTTAATGAAATACGAGTTCACGGGGCCCTTGGATGGGTGATTTGCCAGTTGAAATTTGATCCGCGATTCGAAGATTACGGGCTGCACTTTCATTGGACTGGTACATTTACGAAAAAATGTTTGATATAAAACATAACATGACAATAGAATGTGACGCTGAAAAATACTATATACCTATGTGATATCTAGCGATCAGTCTTATTATGTAGACACTTCTCTCCTTCAATTTTTCCTATTCCCTCTGCAACATATTTTAAAGAGCTCCACATATTGAGGTGTGCCAGGGGTCACGTTTTATTGAGAACGTTACTACGGCAAGGGGCGAAGACTTGTGCGCTCCATACGCATGGTTAGAGAGGCAGACCACAGTTCACTGCTTACGAACGGGTCGCCGAGGTTGCGAAGAGCTTGCGAGTCACCTGGGCCTCACAGTCATGTGATTCAACGCCGCTGCAGCGTCTTTGATGCGAAGATCAAGGATAAGAGTGCAAACAAGGCAAGTTCGACACGTAATTAGATAGTATGAACTGGGGCATCGAACATAATATTTCCTGAAAAATTACAAGTTCACTTAATTTATTTGCCAACAATATTTAATACCCATCAACAGCAAATTCAAAATTACTTAGTTAATTAAAAATTGTAGACTAGCAAATCCTTTTAACTTCATCATTTTTTTGGACGCGTTTAAGAATAATAGTAACCCAAATAGAGTATTATATGTTTTAAGCTGTCGATTGCCACAACTAGATGTAAGTTAGTGTTCTCAGAGAATATGAGAATATCTGTTGGACATGTTAAATTTCATCAGCTAAGTAAAATATAATAAAAATCTGCACTCAACCAATCCTCTTGGTATATTTGTTTACATAACATTTAATATTTCACGTTACAAATTTCTAAGCCTTATCTAGGAACTTATTCTCCACACGCGCATCAGTAAATCTTAGAAAATCATAAAATCTTCGAAGTTAAATACCTACTTTTTCGCTTACAAACATAAAGTGTTTAGATAGCTGACTAGGAAATAATGCGAAGTCAAATCGTCTATAACATGACAAGATGAAATAAACAGATAAATGAAAATCAGTAATGTTCCAGTATTTACAAAGGGCGACGAGGTATTTAAGATGGATTCGCGCAAAAATCCAAGTGGTTCGAACACATCGCGTTCTTCCGATTTTCATTTGGACATTCTCACATAATACCGCTTAGTTCATATACTCGTATGTGCACTCGTATACAACACCATTTAGCTCAAATTAAACGATAATCGATGGTATGAACTGCCTAGAATAGTACACTTCAAATGTATGTTGTTTCCCAACATCAGTCAATCATCAAGTAGAAATCTAATATCGCTTTCAGTTCACTGAGTGTTTTTTTTCTATCGACCTTAGAGAGGATATATTGTAATACTTCGGTGAACTTTCATGTTTACACATTACATTTAACGAAGTTATCTAAAAGGGAGTGAGTGTACGTACGACGAAAGTAGGGGGTTTGGGTGCAGTAATTTTTTTTATCTAATCTAACCATAATACATTTTTATTTTTCCCACACAAAAACATTTATCTTGTCTCTCTCGTACACAACGTGTGTATCAAGAGCTCGTGTGTTTCATACCAATTAAAACTTATTATTTCCGTCATTAGTTATCAATGGCACAAAAAGTCGTTTCAAAAAGAGGCAATGTTTGGAATTTCTAGATAAAGGGCGTGTGATAGCATTTACCCTTTGACAACTGCTTTGAGCATGGTTTAATGGTTAGCGTGATGATAGTAGTGTATATGATCGCGGTGGGAGAGGGGAAGTAGAAGTATGAACGTGGTGGTGGTGGCGTTGGAGGGAGATAGCGTTGGTGGTGGCGATGGGACTTTTAATGGTGGTGTTGGTGATGGTTGTAGACGTGGTGGTGGGTCTGGTTGTAGTGGTGGTTCTAATGTCAGTGACAGTTATTGTGAGAACAGTCGTGGTGGTGATAGTGGAGGTGATGGGTTGGAAATGCTGGTAGCAGTGGTGGCGTGGCGGGTGGCGTTCGGGCTGGTAGTAGCAGTAGCAGTGGTGTGGCGGGTAGCGTTTGGACTGGTAGCAGTAGTAAGGTGGCGGGTGGAGTTCAGTCCGGTGATAGCAGTAGTGGTGGTGTGGCGGGTAGTTTTTGGGCTGGTAGCATGGCGGGTGGCATGGCATGTGGCGGGCTGTGTTCAGTCCGGTGATAACAGTAGTGGTGGTGTGGCAAGTGGTGTTCGGGCTGGTAGTAGCAGTAGCAGTGGTGTGGCGGGTAGCGTTTGGACTGGTAGCAGTAGTAATGTGGCGGGCGGTGTTCAGTCTGCTAGTAGCAGTAATGGTAGCGAGGCAGGCGGCGCTCGGGCCGGTAGCAGTGGTGCAGAGTACTCACGGTCCATGTGCGCCTTCCGCAGCTTGTTGGCGTCCTCGCCGTGGCACAGCCCGTACAGGTTGCGGCCCGTCAGCTCGTCCGCCGTGTAGTCCAGCAGCTCCGACACCCTGCAACACGCACGTCGACTCTTTGCACCGCAGCTCCCGCGCTCGCCAGCGCCTCACATGGGCCTCGGCCTTCAGTGGGTCTTGGATTGGGCGCAAATATGTACCCAATATGTTAGTTAATGTATTTGTAGTGATTTATATACATTAACCTTTGAAGGAAGTAAATACGTCATCCAATTTATTGATCAACAAAAAAATTAGAAGGTAATCATAACACGCTTAAGTAACAAGCATCACGTGATCATCAGCCGAATCTCACGTACCGGTGGAAGAGGAATACCGCTACCGCTCTCGGACATAGCATGTACTACACTTATGGAATTAGGTTGATCCAAATCAATGCGACTTACTCATGTGACCTTTATACTGCAACACAATTCATTACATTTGACTGACTTTTTTTAATGTTTTAGATCACGAGAGAGTATCATACGTTGCAAAATTTGCCATTGACTCTGATGTTAACTACTATTACTCTATGATACTCTAATCAATTAAAGATTATATTCTTATGTAAATTTATTTACTTACCACAACCTTTGTGAAGGATATTTCAATAAATAAATGATTAAATTACACAAGCACACGCAAAAAACCTTGTGAGACCCGAAGACTTGACACATGTTTATCTAAGTATTTGGACGTGTTTAATCCGAATCCAAAACTACAATTGGGCCATCACCCTCTAATTTGTTTTAAATCACAAAACAATTGCATTTTCAGTAGACTCAGTAATTGACAGAATTGCGCCACCACCCTTCAGTTTTTTATATCGCTAAAAATCACCGTGAAATTGTAGACGGTAAATTTCACGTTTTGTTTTTTGCGATTAAAAAACTGAAGGGTGCTGGCGGAATTCTGGCTACAAATTCGGATTTAGCGCGTCGACATACATAGAGAAACATGCGTCAAGTCTTCGGGTATGACAACGTTCTTTTTGGGGGGGGGGGCATGACACCCACGCCTGAGGCCTACGGTTGGGGCATAACGAGGCGGGGGGGCGTTGCGAGGCTGCGCGGGGCGGGAAGGG